TGAACATTAATTATAAAAACAAAAATAAGATATATAATGCAGTTTACGTATAGATTAGCTGGTGGCCATTCACCAGCAGATAATGTAGCCGAAGATACAGATGGTATACAAACAGGCTTTACTGCCGTAGACATTGTTAATGGAGTGCTAAGCTTTATCAAAGCAATATCATTAGCTATAGTATTACGGTTATACTGTGGATGTACAATAATAATAGATGCTATTCGAGATTGGCCAGCAAATCGAGCACTTGAGCCAGCATAAACAGTTAGATTCGATGTTGAAACTCCACGTACACAATGTGCTGCTGTAATGATCCATGTGCTTGACAGAACAGATCCGCCACACAGGCCAGTAGTGTTAATTTCTATTGACACAGCCCAACCCCAATGGTTTGTTCCTGCTGTTTCTCCACCAACAATACGACGAACTCTTGCCGATCTAGACGAACATCCACAGGTCGCACTTGTATCACACGAATAATTGTATTGATAACTTGGTCCTATAGCAACAAGTAAAAGTGTCAGCCAAACAGTGATCATATTACTTCTAAATGTTAATTTCATTTATCCGGTTGAGCAAATGACCAAACTTGGAATATAAAAATGACTGCAGCTATGTGACAACATACATTTAAATACTTTATTTTTTCCCATTTGGTTTTAGTAATGATTAATCATATGAATTGAATTGAATTGAAACTTTCCTTGTTATCCTACGTGATTGTATAAGCATCGATAAGATCTCTTGTCATGCGGCCTACGTTGGAAATTTCTCTTCTGATGCCAATTCATCGTTAATTCTAGAAAAAGAAAAGTGCGTCTAATTTTTACCGAAGACCCACAAACATAATATATTCAGAAAAAAAATCTCAATCTATTGCAGTATGATTCATGGGCAAAAAACTGATTTTGGTGGCATTATAATCAATGCGAAACAAAATAATTATAAACAGCTATAAAGTTTAAAATTCAAATATATCTTATTTACTTCGGATGAACAACGATTATTATATATATAACTTCAAAAAGTGTTTTAATTTTTTATTAAACTACTATTACGCAGTTTTCAATTAGAGAGTTATATTGCATGATTCTACATTTAAGCTTGCTACTATAGTGATATGAAATTACATTAGAATATTTTTTATCCATGCCCGATATGATAATGATCTATGAATTACATGGACAAAAACATCGAACATTACTTTTTTGGGCTATATAAGTACAAAAAAAGGTTTCATATTTTCTAAATTCATTTTCTCAAATAAAAAATTTCTCTTCTTTTAGTGTTTTGTAAAATGGTTAATTTATATCAGTGAACGTACAAAGAAAAAAAGCTCGATATAATCAAGCAACTCATCAACGACATGATGAACTTATACGACATAGTTTACGTCAATTTCTTATCTATACAGATCATACAAGATTAAGACGACAAGCTTTATTTATTCATCAACAAGTTTATGTGTGTAACAAATTTGATAAAATAATAAAACTATATTTTTGTTCTTTAGTTATATCATGATCGAAATGCTTTAGCATTAAAATATGTTTGTAAATGGCGAGCATTTGTTAAACAATCCATCGCACGTAAACAATTAACACAACATTTTATGAAAAAAACGACAAATGTTATACCAATAACTAAGAATCCACTTGCATTGGTTAAATTTGATAGTAGTCCTCCAAAGTAAATCTAACAAATATTCATTTTCTATACAGAATGAACATATAAATCAGTAGATTAAATCGCTCTTCCGTATTCAGTTGTATTAATTTTGAGTTGTAGAATTTAATTTTATGAAAAACCTTCAATTGATAGACTAGAGTTTATCTCGATCAAAATTTTTCCTTGTATAAATAAAGAATATACACTAGAAATGAATTTCATCAAACTGATGCTTTGATTCAAAGATTATTGGACCATCCAGCAATATTTTAAATATTATTACTTCAACAGTCACATGACAGTGGCTTTAATATAGATAGTGATGAAGAATCATTTTCAGAATAATGCATTTCCACTCTTCTTTGATTATATTTGTAAATTATGCAAAATTTAAAACTAACGTTCAATTATTTATATATATATAGTTTTTGACAAAAAATAAGACATTATTTTATTAACAATAAACAAATAGAATAATACATTCTGATTTTTACTATGGTACGCATTTTATGCAATTAAAAAAGAAAAACAATAACATTTCACTCGTCATATATTTACTTTGAAAGGTTTGTTTGTTTATTTATGACGAGCACGTGTTAATTTATATGAAAAAATTCTTGCGGTCATATGAAGTGTTTTCTTTTTCTCCGTGATATAGTTACCGAAAATCACATCGTTATGAGCTTGTATTCAATACTTCTCTTTAATATTTAAAAAAACAAAATTTTCAATTCTTATTAATACTAAAACCCGAAGTATATAAAAAATAATGGTTTGTCTTTCATTTAATTAGATTTATAAATACATGAGAAAAAATAAAGTGAAAAGAAGTGAAAAAAACATGAAGGATGAAGAAGAACTGAATGTATTATCGCTAAGTGAAGTTGCATTGCCCCATGTAGAGTTTGAAGGGTCAACCTTTGCTGAAACTGATAATGTTGGATTTATATATGCATTACTCGTTGTTTGGTTTATCCAACTTTGATAATAAGCTACACGAGTGTAAACTCCCATAGCTTGTGCTTTTGCACATCCATAACCAGTACTGGTCACACCAACTAATTCCCATTGATTACTCGTTGTAAACATCATTAGAGGACCACCTGAATCACCTTGGCACGTATCTTTGAAAATAAAATATAAAATAAAATTAAAAAAACAAGAATATTGAATGTAGTTCACCTTTTCCACCACCTGAAACACCAGCACAAAGTCGTCTTCGTGGATCATTCAGTACTCTTTTAGAACAGGTCGAAGCACGGTAGTCAACTGTTTGTAAGGTTACTTGTTGAAGATATAATGGTAGTGAACCATTTTCGCGCAACGAACCCCATCCAACTGCAACAACCTATCAAATGATATTGAACATTAATTATAAAAACAAAAATAAGATATATAATG